TGTTCAGCAAGTATCTAGCTTTGCAATCTACTAAGATAAGGACAAATCACATTGCCTTGCTTGGTCATTTGCAATGGCAAATATTCTATAAAACTTGCCTAATATTGTACTACAATTTCATCTGCGTAGGTCTTTTTTAAACTTTACTCGCGCGAAAATAAATCTATAATATCTTTGGAGTCTTTCAGAAAGGGCCTATACTGTACAATAATATACTGTGCAAGGGAGGGGAGTAAAATCGGTTAAATAAGTACCAATCATAAAAAGGTTACGAATAACTGTGTTAGAGGCTTTTTCTTGGAATGAAAAACCATATTACATTAGACTTCTTTTCGTATAAACGTAAGATATTTTATGCACGCATACGCAATATTATATCATTGCATGCAGTGAGCATAAACAAATATTGTATGGCCTGCTCTTGAGTAAGCCATCATTTACATATTTATTCACTAACAACATAGAAAATATCATTACCAAGAAACTGATACTTGCAACAATAATAAGTATGTACTGCATTGAGTTGCAATTTTGTCACAGTTTACAACTAAATAAAATAAAAATGTTTTATGCACTGCTCAGATTCTAAGACGAATAGTCATAGTCCTCGTATTATGGAGTATCTGATACAACGAAGGTACCACAACATACAGAACCGAGACAATATAATTTTTTTATCGAGAATTGAACCCGGAACCTCGCAGATGACGACATTTTGAAACCGGTAAAGGAACCACTCTGCTACAGAGGCCCTATTTCTGAAACACGTCTTAATATTACTTTGATTTCTTTATAAATAGACAATATTTAAAAAAAAATATTTAAAAAATAATGTGTTACTGCATGCTATTGATGCTATTTATTTGTATGGAATCAAATAAAGCTTAATTATTATTATATTCTTCTTTGCTACGGGCGTCTCGCAACTCAACGTCAAATTGTGTCTGTTAGGTATGAGTGTGGTGAATATCACCAGTAGGTAATAATCTTAGATAACAAGTAATATATTAAAAAAATCGATATACAGATAATGTTTTTTTTTTAAGAGAAAATAAAAGCAATTTAAAAAATTTTATGCCGCATCAACTTGATTTAGCATCCACTAGTGATAATATTAGGGTTGGGAAAAGTCTTTTCGCATATAGTATGCATAAATTTGTAATAAAATCTTTCTAGCTATAGCATTTGTATCTGACCGGTTTCGGTATTATTAAAAAGTTTAAATTTTAAAGAAGATAACTCCGAGTGCATCTCGTAGGACAAGAACGTGTGAAAAAGGTCGTGGTCAAAGCTCGGTTAGGCTTCACATTGTCGAAATCCCGGTTAACTCTCAATAAGGTGATGCTGTGTGTATAGTAGGGTTGGAAGAACATTATTCATTGTGAGCCATTACCGCCAGACTGGATCATCGATTCTAAACTCTACTGCGAGCAACTGATGAGATTAAAGCATGAAGTTGAGAGGAAGCGGCCTGAATTAATCAATAGAAAGGGTGTGGTATTTCTCCATGATAACGCTAGACCTCACACATGTTTTGCCACTCGGCAAAAATTAAGAAAGGTTGGCTGGAAGGTACAGACATCAACCTGTTTCGCCCCAAGTAGCACATAAATAATATATTAACTAAAATAAGTACCGATTTATGTCCTAAAGTCATACTAACATTTTTAATCAGCACTGGTCAAGTTTCGAATCTGTTTAAAGGCATTTATTTTATCTAATAATGCTTAATGCCATATTATGGTTAATAAAAAAAGTATACCAATGTCAAAACTCATATTTAAGTATTGGGTAATATTAATATAAAGCTGTTATCGTATTTCGGTGATATGAAAAACATTATATATTATATAAGCATTAACGTAATATTATTTAGTGCACTTAGTTGTATTTAGTCATTTTCTAGAAACAAAGGTTTTCTAATGGCCTATGGTTGTATCGATTTAATGCTTATCCTATATACACATTGAATAAAGAACAAGTAAAACTTTAGCACTGATTTGTTCTTAAAGTATTCTTTAATCAAGTTCAAGCTCCTTTATCTTCTTAGTCTATTCTTTTATCAAACATTAGGCTATATTTTGATCAATATGAAGTTATTTATAGAGATACAAGTCATAAATAGATCGTAATTATTTTTTATGTAAAATTATTTTATGTATTGTATTGTAATGGTGGCATTTTATACGCATCGCTGGCGCCATGAACAAAAAACGTTGGGAAAAACAAAGAAAACAGGTGGATATAAAAGAAAACTGAAAAAAGAGTATTCTAATTTAATTGAAGCTTTTAAAAATCAAAATAAAAATGAAATAATCGTTTAATGATTATAAGCACTATAAGATACTTCTGAAGTGTTAAAATACGGCTGTACCTAAAATGGGAGTGTGTTATACGGTGAATTACGAGCTCTTAGTTTTGTGTCTAACCATAATACGATTAACAGCTCTACTACACTATATTTGAATACCTAATGCTTTAATTTTACGAGTCGCCATTTGCTTTCTTTTTCCATTTCTTACAATAATATTTAAAGTCAACTGTATGAGATGAAAAGAGGTAAATAATCATTTATTTTGTACACAGATGCCTATAAAAGCAATTATGTTATTAAAACAATGCTAAAAGCCTAAAATTCAACAAAAAATTTTGCTACTAGGTTAAATTTTCTATTATTTTTATTATATTAAAGGAAGTTTGCGAAGGCGCGTGTATTTTACACCATAAACTTGTATATTTTACTCCACAAACTGATGTTTGCAGCTTATTTCACTCATAACAAGCTGTATAAATGTTAGTACTCTCCTGTTCAATATTAAAAAATACTTAAAAGACCAGCCAAGAGAACATATCATCACACTTACACAAAACAATAACTTTAACCGATTATATATTTTTAAAATCTATTAAATATACTTTTTTACAAAGGAAGTAAAACAGTAAGAATTTTAATAACATTAAATTAACGTATTATAATTTTGATTTCCGCATATCAATTGTAATATAATTACAAAAAGTTCAATTAGCACTTTAAGGTGCTAATTGAACTTTTTGTGGCTATTAGAATGCTTTTACCCGATTTTATTAATGCTATTAAACAAAAGTTGTAGTGCTATTGCACAGCTTTTATAAAGCTTAAAGTCGTACAAAGGGGGGGCCCAAATTTTAAGTATAAGAGTCGTTTAAAAGAAATACGGTTGATATACGATTTTATTATAATGCTTAACGCTTGGACTCGTGCTATTATAAGTTTGATATAATGGTGTTTTGTGCTACTTGGGCGGTCTCTTCAAAATGCTTTAGGCAATGCCAGGTTAACATTCCGCCAGGACTGCCAAAACCACTTGTGTCAGTTTTTTGATCAGAAGTCCCAAAATTTCTATAGCAATGGGATTATGTCCCTACCTACAAGATGGCAAAAAATTAACGAACAAAATGTCCACATACTTTAGTAAAATGTAAATAAACTATATTAGTAAATGTTTTGAATTTTTATATAAAATTCGAAAAACCCTTTTCCTCGACCTCATATACATCATATTAAAAAGGTCAAATTATTTATACCCATTAGTTTAATACATACGGTAGTATGCATAATTTTTATATTGATTAATATAAATTGTTTCAATTAATGTTTTCTTTTTCCTGCTTACTACAAGACTACGGAATCAGTGGTGAGTATATAATACAAATAGTCATCTTCTCGTTTAGTATCATCATCATTAACCTATTAATATTCCAATTTATGGGGCACAGGCTTTCACTATAGATGGAATCAAATCGTATGGATTTAAAATAATGGGCCTTGGATTTTAAATAGTTCTAATAGGAACTGTCGATTAATATATACCAATCGATAGTTCCGATAGTCTCCACTTGTAGTAGTAATTTTTACAATATTATAGAGACTTAATGATTATATATTAAGATATTTTATTTATAAATAATTTTAATTAATAAGAAAACATGGATATAATGTGATTTATTATTACTATCGGTAATAAAGAATTTGAATTTTTGAGTGATCTTTTATCATTCATATGAACAATATTTTCCGGTATTTCTTTTAATTGCCATGCATAGCACGAATCTTATATGCTGACTTAACATATTGATAATATTAATATCATTGGGTGCATGCATGGCTGCAGCCACAAACGACATGGGGCAAACTTACTGCAGTCCGCAGAAATGACATGATGGACGTTTATAATTGATTAATAATCATTAAAATGTGCTGCTGTCATTTAATTCTTATACAGATTCTGTAACTTTGATTCAAAAACATTTAAAATATACTTTATTGTCGTTGTTTTGAATCATCATCGATGAGGATGGGTGTTATTGCAGAAGAGTTGATTAATTTATTGAATTGATTAGCGCAATATTTTAGGCATTATATTTAGCCGTTCTCATTATCTGGCCGTATTAGGTCCCGGACTACTGTAACCTTAGGTATAGTAAATCCACCACTGGCTGCATAGTTAATAAAAATAGTTGGTTAACAAAAATCAACTTTTTTATATATTTTGAACTTCTTTAGAACTAATTATCCAAACCAGCCCAATATCTCTCGCTTTGTTGTTATTACCAAAAGCATACAATCTAATTTCTTACATTTCCCGGTTCCCGCTAAAATTTAATGTTGCACGCTTGCACCATTTGAATATATTGTAGATTACGTTACTTTTATTGCACACTATAGTACTTTAAAATATGAAATATGAACTGTCCAAATATTCCCTATTATATCAAAAACGGTCAGATATTTGATTTAAAAAACGCTCAAAATAATGCACATGTAATAGAAGTATATAATTCTATCGTTGAAAACTGACGAATCGATTTGAATTGATGAATATACTTTTGTAGAAGCTTACGTCATTCACTGGATCTGGCAACAGTTGCACGAGTATGCGGCCGCTTTCAAAAGGTCGTGATAAACTTCTGTGTTCAAACGGTGGGAGAGTATTTTTAACATAGTCGATTAAATTGCTGTCAGATTTTGTTCATCTGGTTTAGAAAAAGGTACACGAATGTGGATACAAGTTTATTTCTTAAATTACAAGGCGTTATTGAGTAAATTAAAGTGAAATATAGTTTTGGCAAGTAAATTGTGGTGCTGTTTTAATAAAAAGTTTCCGTAAATTAATATAGAATTTTCATACTGACTGTGGAAATGTTTGAATCATAATTTTGAGTATGACCTCACTTATTTTGATCATTTATTAGTGTTCCGGTATCAGTTATTACGTTTTCGGCATAACTTTTATAAAAGGTAGTATAAAATATATAATAATTTAATTTTCTTGAAAATTAATGGTGTTATGTTACACTAGCCCATTGACCTAATTAAAAAATGTGTATAATTTTCTTTCAATAAAAGAACTACCGAAGTACTAAAAACTACAAATATTTATAAAGTTAACAATCTACAAGTATTTGATGTATAAAAAAAAACAATTACACTATATTAAGAGACACCTGATTTTTTTAAAATAATTTATACTAAAAAGATCAACATTCAACACAATAACGTAAATTACAAAAACTCTGCTAGAAAAAAAAATAAAAAGATTTAATTAGCACACTACAGTCAGTTTCTATGACATCACTACATAATAGATGTACTCTGACTAGTATTGACCTCCACATTATTTCCACAAGATTAGTATTCCACTTACAACTCTGTGAATCAGTCCACCATGAGTGAAAAATAACAATTAGTGTACTGCAATCATGTTATTTCGAAACTAAACAGAACTTTCTAGTAGGAAAGTCAAAAGGTTTATTACAGCACCACAAATATTGCCATCTAAATAAAGTTACCATGTTAACCATCATTTTTTGTAAACAGTCCATCAAAATGTCTTAGCATAAGCATCTAAAAAATTAAAAGTAGTGTAGTTCAGTGAGTGTGAGGCACCACCATGGGTCAAAATGGTGGTGCAGACTTTGGTGCACTTATACAAGGAGCGGGAAGACAGTTAATAAACCAAGGAGGACAAGCTTTACTACAATATGGCGCTCAGGCTATCGGAAACATCATTAATGAAGTCTTCCAGAAGAAGGAAGTGGAGCAAAAGAGATTTCTGCCAAGCATTAAAAACTATAAAGTGGTATGTAATTAAAACATTTATGGACAGTTTCATTTTTATTTGTATTAAATAGACAGAATATGGTAACAAGTAAGCCCAAAAAATTTTTGCTATTAAAATAAAGCTATCTGATTTTTATGTAGGTATGTCCAAACTAAATAATGTTTGTAATAACTTGGAATAGTTTAAAAATATATGATTTGCTTGCATAATTTGCCATATTTTGAAATATCTAGTGAAAATTCTTAATGCAAAATGTTTGGTCCCCGGCACTCTGAGATGGGATTCAAACCAATGACCTTTCGCAATCCAGGCAACTGCTCTAACCACTAAGCCACCCAAGAACTGATAAATCTTTCAAGCAATTCTTACTTTTTTGCTACTACAGAGCTTATTCTTATCAATGTTCAGGCAAGCTTTCTAAAACTTATTGAGATTGTGGCGATGTTACTGCGATGAAATAGATGTCGCTATGTAACCACCATTTGATAAATTTAACAAGTTGATTTTGACTTCTTTTTACAATTCATTAAGGTTTAAAATTAAGTAGGAAAACTTACAGTTTTGTATAACCTGACATTGCTGCTATGCCGTTATAAAGTCTAAGTATTTTTTGTGAACTAACTATTAATAATTTAGTGATAAATTTTAAAAATTACGAAAACTTTCGCGCTCATTTACATTCAAACTTTTGAGATGTGCTGAGTGTCCGCATTTTGCGATTGTGCAATCTAAGTGTTTAGTCTACATTTTTATATTAAGATTAAATTTTTAGCATAATTTGAAACTATTAAAAAACACCTTTCAGATATAGCATGAGTTTTCGTAATTTACATTTCCTCGCCGCCACCTGACCTGACCTCCGCACTGGGTACTGAATGATGTATATCCTTGATACTTCAACATAGTGAAATATCAAGTTAACTCAATATAACGTTTTTTCATAACCTCTTAGGCTAATACATCAATAGATATCAGACCCTAGCAGACGACTACAGTTTCGACATTGATAGCGATCGCAGAGTTTATTGACCGAGCTGTCAAACTCGATCGCTAGGAAACTAACGAATGTCGCCAATTTGACAGTTTCACTCGTTACTTCCATAGTATATATAATGAAACAGACATCAAATTAAAGTTTGTCTTACCCTATATCACCATCTGCTCTTTTACGTCCCCACTGCAGGGGCTCATCAGGGCGATTCTGTAAAAATCCGAACCCGAATGTATTCACTCTTGTGTCTTGTTGTGGTTTCAGTCATTCTATTCCTAATATCACTTCGAAACTCACTTCACTTATGCCATGAAAACGTTATTACCAATTCAAGATTGAGCGGATGCCGCTTTTTGAAGTGAATTGGGACACCTCAGTGGATACGAATACGGGTTAGGATTTTTACAGAATCACAGGGCTGGCCTTACTTATGGAAGGTTAAGGACCACCCCATAGTGTCCCAATAAAACGAATCACGAATATCAGTCTTTACCATAGATAATTGTAAAATATCTCGAGTCTTTTGTGAAGTTAAAATTGAAGATTGTTTTAAAAGCATTACCTCTGACCGCGTGGGTTTAAAACCTCAAGCAAATTAATAAATCGTGTTGCACCTACACAATTCATTGCCTTTTAATTATGATACATGCTTATACTACACCTTTACCTACAAAGTTGTGAAGGCAACAAAAAATAGATAGTTGTTCTTTATTATTTTAAAAACCACTCTCTTCCCACATCCACAAAACAACAGCCTCTTCGCTCAATTATTTATCAGGGTGTAGTACGGCATTCTTCTTATTACCGTTCTTAATAAGCTATTATTTTAATTTGTCCGCAAAAGAAAAAGGTTAACATTACGAAATTGAGTTCCAAGATGATCTTTCTTTTTGTGCATTTTGGCACAGTTATTTGTTCCAAGATGACTAAACTCTTATATCATTTAACGTTGCACTTATGTTCAAAGAACGCCGTCACTTCCTCGTGATACAGCGCGGTGAAGTTGTATACCATTTGTCAGCAACATAATTATATAGTTACGTAATCGTACAAACCTTTGTTTTGCTGGATAAGCTCAAATAGCGGAAACTCGATAATAAATGTCTTCGCAGTATTTCTCTTAACTAAAATTTTGCCTGTAGTAAAACATCTACATAATGTATACCTAACAGAAACAAAATCTAAAAATGCAAAAAGTAACAATTTAAAAGCGGAAGAATCAATTTCGTAAAGCTATTAAATAAAATAGGTACCCTAGATATCTCGTATCCTTAGATTATTGACAAATGCAGTACTTGTTTTAGCAATCAACTCAATAATTCAGGACATACCTTTGTATTAGTTAAAACAATAAACAAAGGTGTGGCTGAAATTGGTTTATAATGAAGGTCGTATACTGACGGTAATGTTAAAATAGCTGTTTAGATCTGTCCTTAATTTTACATGTTCCATGGTCATGGGTTTTTTAGTTGGTGTACGAGTTTTTTAATAGTGTCTTTATTTCATTCATCTAATCATTGCTCCTTTTTCATAGCTGTAGTCTTATCTAACAAACAATCGTATCATATTTCCGTAAGTCATTCCCTTGACATAATTAATTTTGATATTCATGTTTCGTGCTTTTGTCCATTATTGTCATTTAAAATGCAACTTTATTTTAATTGTTCTAATGTATTAGGTTATTATTCTGATTGGAAGCATCACTAGAACATTTTTGTTTTGTAAGCTGTTGCTAAGATCAACGAGTTAATCTGTTAGCCTTGGTCTTGTTAAGTCGGCTCTATTCATCAATTGAGAACTGAGCAGGGGTATGTCACTGCCGTTGCATACGAGCAGTAGGTATAAAATTTCCGATTGTGCCTTAGTCCTACTGTTTTAGAGTTATATGACTTCAATTTACTTTCCTCCAGCGACTTACGATAATTCTAAGCCTGGATTAAGATATAGGCTACTTTATCCCACTAAACAGTTCCCTAGACAGCGGTATATACGAAATTCATCAAAATCCGTTCAGTAGCTTTTGTGTGAAGAAATAACAAACATCCAAAGTTTCGCCTTTATAATATCAGTATGAAGTAAGCTAAATAACCACTGCAGTCTAGGAAAATTGTTCAGATTTTTTTTGTGTCCTATTCTAATTTGCATTTTCTTTATAAGTAGGTTTCGTCTCTGCTGTCAACATATCTCGAACTAGTTATTCATTGTATTATAAGTTTCAAATGCCTTATGTTACTGTTTACATTTGTCGCATACTGTATGCAAATGATAATTCGTTAGCATATGGGTGATTGAACTGCGGCATCTTAAATAATTCAACATGACTTGTCATATTCAATAGAAAGCACCTATTGACAAGTTGCCAACAGTGAAGAATTGATGATATTTTAAGATAATAGTCTATTCTTACTACCTGTAATCGGATTATAAATGTCCTCCGTGCTGAGGTACGATATTCCCATTTTGAAAACGAGACTAATAGATATCATGCAGACAATCAGGAAGAAAGGTTTATAATATAGCGGTCAAGCAGCAAGATAACATACTTTTGACATTCATTGATTAGCTTGCCAAAGAATATTTTCATATTGATCCAATCTCATGTCTTAATTGCTTTCTGCCGCCATCAAATCATGATATTTACAGTTAAACGATCTATAAAAATTATCTCAATATACGTCAAAATAAATTCATTGCATCAAATAACAGCGTTTTTGTCACAACAGGAGAAATCCAGTGAACGTGTGTTGATGATGTTTCAATGTAATAATGTTGCTATTCAACATTTCCATATAACAAATCCAGTATTATCGACGTTTTCTTGGAAATCCTGGCTTTAAGCCAAACATGGATATAAAGAGTTTCGACGCAGACGTTTAGGTGCCATTTAAATCAAAACCTGAAGCTTTTTGTCTAACCCAACTTGAAACTTCATTTATCTGCAATTTATTTAGGCAAACTTTATTATCAAATAACTTCACTTACCCAAAAAACTCACCTATGCCTACCTTTCGTTTATCATCTACGTTTCAATAAGTTTTTCTATAAATACTTAGAATTTTTGACCAATGCAATGGCGTTAATATATAATCAAAAGAATCACATTATTATACTGTCAATACGAATATCAATCATTTGCGTAAACACCAGATATTTAAGAGAATTCTTATTTCGACCAGGAAAATAATACCAAACTAGAGTTACAACAAAATGCTTAATTCAGTGCACGTTTAGTAGTTCTCTTGGTTAATTTACTTTGATTTTCCATTAGATGAAACTCTTTGTGTTAACAAGCACATGATGCACCGCAAAAATCTCACAAATCTAAAGAGCTGTTTCTTCCTATCTTTGCGCTCTTTGGTATTCACTGTATAATGTGGCTTAATTACTAGATGCTATGCCAGATGTTACCATGTGGGCGGATAATGATACCATCTCGGAATCGTCATTTCTCGAATCCGAATTTAATGGTTAAGACGATTTCTGAAATAACTCGGTTCGTTATCAAATCTATTTACCGTTCCACCGTTTCGGCGACATGACTAGCTACTATAGCAGGAACCTGTTTTTCTAATTATTGTGCTCAATTAACACTGAACGACCTTCCATCTTTTTTTATGGAAAGTAACTTTTAAACTTATAATATTTATTAATAATTTGCACTGTGTATACTTTTTCATTCAACTGCGTACATTGATTTTATGAAATTACTTTACTTATTATTACAAAACCTACTCATTATTTCAACATGCAAAATTTTTGTCTTTGATATTCAACATCATTTCTTTTTATTATTCACCTTTCGTAATTTAAAATTTTGACTAATCATATATACTCTTTATGGATCTCCTTTCATCTGTTGTAAACATGTAAATCACACATAATATAAATGATATAAATTTAAACATAAAATTTTATTAATGATTATTAATAATAATGAATGACTTATTAAAATATAAATTATATAATATAGTAAAAGTGTATTCTGTAACTTGGACGATTCAAGTTTTTATCAAGAAACCCAAAAAGG